ATATATATATATATAGTAGTGTGTGTGTGTGTGTGTGTGTGTGTGTGTGTGTGTGTGTGTGTATGTGTGCGTGTGTGTGTGTGTGTGTGTGTGTGTGTAGATATTTTAAGAAACCAGTAGGAGAAATGATATCGAAACAATTTGCTGTCTGTAATTACATCTCACTAATAAAAATGGTTTAAGTAAAAATGGTCGATCGGGAACCGTTCTGCTTCGTTTAGTTCGTTTTTACCAATGAATTTTACAGACTAGGTGGTTTTGATCTCATTACTGCAGCAATACATCGTAGCAAATGACAAAATTTCATACGTTTCAACTGATGTGACAGCTGACTGGCCATCACAGTAAGCATAAGCAACAACAGATCAACTTTGACATTTAACACCACAGCTATAAATAAATGTCTTCCCCACCACTCTATGAATACTTCCTGATGATTGCTGAACACATCAACTGTAAGTTACCTTTTGAAGTTAACCAACAAAAATATGCTTACCTGTCTAATTAAAGAATTTCCCGATCTGGATACCTATAAAAGCAAATGTGGCCGGATGGTATTGATTCACAACAGAACGTATATAGGCGACTGTTATAAGGAAGGTAAGGCAAGAGTGTAAGTTAACTAAGGTCAGGGTATGAACCGTTTGACTAAAAGGTGAAATAAATAGGTTGATTTAACGTATAGCAATCGGAAGCTTTTTTACAATTCATTCACATTTCATTTACGATTTATTGTGTATTCATTCACAACCACTTGTTTGCACTTCGCAGTACCGGTCGCGCAATGCTATTGTCTTTGCCGATTGACAAGCAAATAGCACTACAGTTTTCCTCATACCGAACAGCATATTTATAATAAATTGTACCATTTTCGTATGCAGAAAAAAGCTTCAAATTTTATTGGTTTATTTTAAAAAAACGAATCTAAGGCCAATTTGAAGAACGGAGTCTGAATTATCGAATATGCAATACTTGTAACTAATACGTATCTCTGTGTGTATTTGACTTTAATTTCTTTTTAGGTACCGTCATTTGATTTCAAATTTCCGTTTACATGCAAATCTACTACAAGTTCTAGGCCTTGTTACTGATGGCAGTGAAGGGATATAAATACGATCTTTAGACAATTACAGTTTTAACCGTATGTATTATTTAGGCTGCATAACCAGTTTATTTTCATTTTATCAAAAGTCTAGTGCTGCAAGCATAAACATTATCAATTCTTTTCTTCTCTTTTTTTTTTTTTTTCAAAGTAAGCCGATCCACGAAGTTCGGTTTGTTGAAATTCCCATAGTTCTTTTTTTATGAATGAGGTTTGAATTATAATCCTTATCTTCTATTAATATTTCAAGTCGTACTGAATTCGAAGCACATATTTTTCCGATTGTATGTTTTTATAATTATTGAAATCAAATTTCTACGAGTCGTTCCTACGAATGCTTCCAATCTCAGTATTTATAATTCCTATTCAAAACAAAAACGCTCAATCTTTTGAATTTCCAAAACAACACTTTCACAATTTCACCAAGAATCAAAGCCACATGGAATATATCAAACTATACTATTCAAGATCAATGCGTGCATAACAGCTATTTTGCATATGCATAAGAACTTTTAATGCAGATCCCCAAGTTTCTAAATGCAACAATTTATTTTCACTGATGAAGTGAATAGTCTAATATCAGTACTTTAAAAAAATAAATAAATGAAAAAATGAAAAAAAAACGAAAATTTGAAAACAATTGCCTTCATGAACAATGATCAATTCTTAAGCTATTAAAAAGACATTGTATGCATATTATTCAGAGTGTTCCAAAATAAAAATTAGTCAGACTGTTTGTTTGAAATATATACAAGAGATGATCAATTATTCAAAAATCGACGACTTTTTCATTCTTAATTTCCTAAATTTGCTTTGGAAAAATTATGTTGAAAATATGTTGAAAAAATAAAATATTTTCAATTATATTGAAAATAGATTTTTATAGTTTACGAAGTTATAGTTTTTACCTACAGATCTCAATAGCCAGTGTATTGAAAACCTGGGGAAATGACTTGTTCTCAACATCAATAGTTTTTGGATTTAGCTGTTTATTTGCATAGAATATCTCATCAATGCTTTACAGCAATTATTTAATGTATATCTACCATGTTGTTACCTTTAATTAGCAAAGATTCAAGCAAATACTATGAACTCATGAAAAAATCTAATTAGAAAATATGAGTTCACAGGTCAATGATGAAAATTTGTCATAAACTGCAGGAGAAAATATCTTAGTATAAGCATTTCGAGTGTATGGAATTTAAATATGTAATTCAGTTTCGTTTTTGTATTAGCTAAATTGATAGATCAATTATTATTTCATAAGTATATAAAGTACGTCGTGACCAATTGAAATATTTTGCAGCACAAACAAGTATTTCATAAATGCTATTCAATGCAGCATTTTGCTCTGAATATTTCATGGAAATTGTTATTCGGTAAGTATGTAAATAGAGTCGTATTGGAATTCCTTAACTATTAATAGGTTCGGTGTTTTTAAATTTCAAAAATTTCAATAGTATTACTAAAAGTGGGTTGGCACATATGTGAGCTTTCACTGATACGCATCTTTTTACATCAAGGAACTCCGAAGAAATATTTTATATCGAAGAGTAAAAAAAAATTCAAAATTTAACAAATTTTAATAAAAGAAGGTTTGTTAATATTTCCCAAAAAAAGAAGATTGCGGGTGGGTATGAGAATTAGGAATATTTTCTCATTCGCAAAGCGTTTGCAATTAAATGATGTAAGACAGTGTTTCATTATTTAAATTAAAAAATAAGGATGCCAGAATGATAAACAACCGAATTGTGAACTTGTGAAACTTTGAGATTTAAGTAGTATCCGTTAAAAGCAAATGGCAGTTTCAGTACTTCCATTCCGTTTTAAAATTCTAAAAACAGCACAGAAATTGTCACCATATTTGTTCATTGGTGCATTCATCATCCAACTACTGATTGACATTTTGAATCTTTGCATCCTAAAAATTGAAAAGCAACTCAGATGAATGCTTGCTAGGCTGGTTTTGCTCCAGTCCTAGGAAATCTTAGAATGCTGTTATTACCAGAAAGGTAATTCAAACCATTTGAAGGAGAGAGGATAGCATACAGAACAGTGTACTTTGACCTCCACACATTTCATTGGAACCTTTCGGCCATTCTTTCAGCAGTTTTGCTGTAAAGTGTGCTCTAAATATCAAAACAATCAATAACAGCGATGGGTGCATTGTTTTGTAATGTAGCCGAATAAGAGAGGTGTTATAGATAATACCGTGGAAGCATCGGAAGTAAACATAAGCAGGTTCCTGTGGTACTTCTTATTTACATGGAAAAGAACGAGGGTAGAGGAAGGATACCACTTATTTGACTTTGTCGCTGCTCTAATGCAAATTTTCTTTTGCACCATTTTTCGATAATAGTCTATTTGTTGAAATTTAGAATCTTATGTTATAATCGACTTTCGAAGTTGCTCAGCTGTGAATTGTGGAGATGAGTGTCGCGCTGGCATGTATATATATGCGTTTTCATTTTCAGTTCCTTTAGGGAGGGGATCACACGAGTTATTAATGGCGTTCCTTCATTCATTTCTCTGATTACTCCCGCATTATCCCACTGAATAAATAAGGTTTGTTAGCCAAAATAATCGGATGTAATGGAACGTACGTGAGTCATTCATTAGTTTATTTACATACCCGCTTCCATTTAGTTTAAATCTCTAACGAATTTTTTTCCAGATCAGTTGGTTAAACACATAGAATTTGTGTGGAGGGAAGCGGCGGAAGCAGATGTCGGAATCAAACTATTCCATTCTTCATCAAAAACCAATTATGAGGTTGTTTTTATTACTAATATTCATTTTATTAATGAACTTCAAAAGGTAACTTACAGTTGATGTGTTCAGCAATCATCAGGAAGTATTCATAGAGTGGTGGGGAAGACATTTATTTATAGCTGTGGTGTTAAATGTCAAAGTTGATCTGTTGTTGCTTATGCTTACTGTGATGGCCAGTCAGCTGTCACATCAGTTGAAACGTATGAAATTTTGTCATTTGCTACGATGTATTGCTGCAGTAATGAGATCAAAACCACCTAGTCTGTAAAATTCATTGGTAAAAACGAACTAAACGAAGCAGAACGGTTCCCGATCGACCATTTTACTTAAACCATTTTATTAGTGAGATGTAATTACAGACAGCAAATTGTTTCGATATCATTTTCTCCTACTGGTTTCTTAAAATATCTACACACACACACACACACACACACACACGACACACATACACACACACACACACACACACACACACACACACACAC